TTACCTGCGTCATTTCATTTTTCATCCTATAGTCTAGTAACGTCATCTACCACTCCTCTAACTTTGATGTTATTTTACTGAGACAAAATCTTAAACAGGATAAAGTTTTGATTTATTCTAGTCGTTTCTACTGATTGTCTAGTTTTCTGGGTCAAAGTAAAGCAGGAGATGGAATAAAATGCTGGTTGTAATATTTAAAGTTCCTGGATTTAAAATCATCTTTATTTCAGAATTATTGTGTTTGGAATTGAAGATATTTGTCCATTTATCCTAAATGCATGCAAATGTTCAATGGGGGCAATTAAAATTAAAAAAAATTATATTGTTTAGAAATAAGAGAATAAAAGATTCTATTTAATTTAATTACAGTCATGGTAATGTATAAAAAGTCTTGCTCACTGTCTATGAAGGAGTGGAGCGCTGAGAGCATCGACCCCTCTGGACCTCCGTAGGCGGTGTATTGCAGCTCCTCGGGGGTCGGGGTGGGCTGGGACAGGTGGCTGGGCTGCAGTGAGGTCATGGGGGTGCTGGAGGTGTGGTTGGGGCTCACGTGCTTCTTGTGGCGTGCTCGACAGTTCTGGAACCAGACCTGAGTTAACGGGACAAGCGCCTTTAGCAGGACTGCATTTGAGAGTCCAAGATAGAAGCGCGTCACTGTTTTAGCTCGTGAAATCTATCAGTCAAAACAGATATGATTTTTACAGAGTTACAGTCAAGGAGTCATCTTTGTCCTGTGAGTAAAGCCACTGTCACTGTCTTGTAGTTTTTGGACAGTCAGCAACAGTCAGAACAGATAAAGGTGTCTCATCTAAAAAGGGTTAAAGCTGCATTACAAATCTGCTTCAAGTATCTCAGGCTTCAGTAAAGTCATGTAAAAGCTTCAGAAAGCATTTTTGTCTTTACAGGTTGAACTGTTTGGTCATTTAGGAGTTTGTTTGGGAACATACGTCGTCCGGATAGTGCAGTAATTACACACAGTATACATTATACACACCACATGATATATATTGAAATCCAATAAGAACAAATGTCACAACAGATGATATCTCCATCATCCGTTTTGTCTTCACGCACCGAGCTTTACTGACCTGGATGACTCTTCGACTGAGGCCTGTCTGCTCTGCTAGTTTCTGCAGTGTTTGGGCGTCTGGGTTGTTGTCCTGAGCAAACTGAGCCTGCATCACCTGCATGTGCACAAAGTAACAAAGTAACACAAAGGTTTGCTGTGTGGTCCCGTGGGAAGGAAATCCACGATTCATCTGAACACGAGTAACTGTGAGGAGATCAGCTGCCTTTTAAAGTCTGCCAGAGAGGGTTTAATTCACAGACAGATCATTCTAATAAAATCATGGGAAATATAAGCATTTTGGGATATTCTGCATAAATCTAAACCATTTATTACATTTTAATTCAATAACAAAACTACAATGGGAATTGCTGAAATAATGTGCATTATAAATATTATTATTGCAATAAAAAGACGAACTGCACAATTAAAAAAACAGATTTCTGACGTATTTTTTTTTTCTTTTCTAGTAATTCTGTCCTCTGTGTCATTCAGACTAAATGTATTAAATATCTTGTATCATGTCATCTCTGACGTCAGACACAATGACGCATCTTCACCTGTGAAAATAACATCAGGACATTTTTTCCTCTTGAATCCTTTGATATTTTTATTTTTGACACATAGAAGAGAATTTCCACAATTTAAAAAGTATATGTATACTATGTAAAAAATAATAATAATAATAATTTTTGAAAGAATTCCAAAAAACTCATTTAAGGGCCAGAAATTCAGCGTTTGTTTGTTTTCTTTTTTATACATTAATTCATTTTTTACCTAAACACAATCTACTTATTTTGTCTTTGTTTTTTCTCGTGTGATGAATGAAGAAGAGGAGGAGTTGAACCTGCAGCTGGTCAGCAGTGAAGCTGGTCCGAGCTCTCTTGGAGGGTTTGGGCTGGTTGATCTCCTGTTCGGTGGGCACAGCTCCTTCCATGTTGACGCTGTTTCCTGCAGCGAAATATATTAATATGTTAAAATGAGACCGTTTCTGGCGGCTTTATTGATGATTCATAAATTTCAAACCGATATTTCAAAAACAGAGAGAACAAATTATTCGCGGTCATCTCGGTGCAGGTGAGACTTCGGCCTCACCTTTTTCCACCGCCCGCTTGAGGTTGTCCAACATGCAGTCGTAGTGAACCCTGCAAAGCACTTTTCCCTCCACCAGGGCGAACTCCTCCCCGGTGGACAGCTGCCTCTTGCAGGAGAAACAGGCGAAGCAGGCCAGATGATAGACGTTGCCCTTCGCCCGACGGACCCAGTCCGTGGAGTGGATGTTCCGCCCGCAGCACGCGCACCAAGTGCCGTATCTCCTGCAGGTGAAGGTCAAAGGACACAGCCTGATGGTATTTAAAGGATAATAACAGTTTAAATTCCTATAATGATTCCTGCGATTTATGCGTGTAGTTGCACAAAATAATGATCCCACAGTCTAAACAACAACAAGAACGGTGGAAAAAAACCCACCTGACGTCGGTACATGAAATAAAAAATGCACCTTTGCCCTGGCACACAATTTGTTCCAATTATCCAAACTTAAGGGAAAAAAATCCTCTAAGTCGTTTTATTAATTTTTATTTATGTCACTATGAAGTTCGTCGACTCACAGAAATTAATGTAAGAAATAATGATGCATTTATTGGTCATTTATTAATTTTATATACATGATATTAGAATAAAATCGGAAACAAATCTCAGGTCCGACTGCATTGTATGTTATTATTATTGTTACAATGAAAGCACAGTAATAAAAGCTTAATGAAACAGGACTCAGTGTTCGATAGATCTAATTTCTCAAATGCATTACTGTAGTATTTTTTTAACAGATCGGATTTCATGGGTATTTCCTTTAACGAAAACAGACCCAAACTTATGTTATCGTTGAATCTGCGCTGATAAGCATCTTTAGCAGAGCGATGAACTCACCGAAAGTAATCCAGTTTGCAGAAAACCTCTTTTTCTTTGATGTAGCAACTTGTGTGGCTGCCAAGTGAAGTCTGGCACACGCTGCAGGAGAGACAGCGCACATGCCAGCACAAGTCGTTAACCTAAAGCAAAAATATGATGATTTGGCAAAAGTCACGCGGTGAATAAAAGAAGAAAGAGGGGGGAGAAAAGCAGTTTAGAGCCAAACAGCAGAGGGGAGAAAAAAACGTATTCTAGTGTTAAATACGCAGGAAAAACAATTCATGCAAAATAAATAAATAAAATAAAAATACAAAACGACAGGATTTACCTTTAATAGATATTTATCAACTATTTCCTCGTTGCAGCTCGCACACACAGTTCTGCCCAACAGAGGCGCAGAGGACATCGCCTGCAGGGACGACGCTTCTTCATCCAAAACTTCCACCGGTGCGCCCTGAGGAGATCAGACCTGCGGTTAGAAAATTACGCACAGGAACGCATCCACTCCTAACCTGCAGTACAGCGTGACCTGGTGCGCACTGTCACCACCAATAAACAACGTGATCGATAGTCTGAAAAACAACCACAAGAAACTGTCTCTTAAAAATGTACCATTTTTCCCGAATTTATGTTTATTTGTTTTAACTGTTAAATCTCAGTCCGGTCACGCCTATCCATGTCTCCCGGACACCTGCTGAGTTAGTCATTAAAGTAAAAGGAAAAAACATAAAGAAAAACACTGAAAGCAAAGTTAAGAAGCTCAAAACAGCTAAATCACACTACAGAATAAAAAAAGGTAAAGCCATAAGGGCCACAGTTTGACCAACGCGAGAACAAAAAGCTTTAAAGTCCAAAAAGAAAAAGTCAAAAAGATGGAAAAGTCTGAATAAAGAATAAAGTGCGTTTTTATTCCTTTTAGATGCCAATTAGTGACAAATCCATGAGAAATACACGTCATCTTTCACTAAAAGTTGTCATTTTGTCTGAACACAGACACAAAAAAACAAAATATAATAAATAAAACAACTTAAAAAATAAAAACGTGCTCGTTTTTGAGAATAAACCAAACTGTGGCTGCACCGTTTCCTTCCTACCATTATGTCTCTCCTGTCTTCAGTGCATTTGCCCAGCAGCTCTTCGTCTCCTTTGCAATCTTCACACATGACGAGAAGCTGCGGCGAGAAGAGGATGCTGGTTTGTCAGACTGTCGCAGCTGCCTTAAATGCCCCCCGCTCCTTCCCATAAATATCATGCCTTTCACTTTTCACCATGACAACGCCGGCGATTAAACCAAAATGACATTTAAAAAAGAGAAGGATAGTCATTACTTACAAAAACAGACAACACTTGAACTAATACTCATCCCGTGTCCATTATGCTCTTGAGCTCTGAATTTGTGATTCACGCGGGCGGGCGCGCGCGCGTGCGCGAGCTGCGGGTAAACCAACCAACACGCCAATTTCACGCGTCAATCAGAAAAGCAGCGCGAGGTCTGAAGGAAAAGGGGATTGATTTATTTAATAACAGCAATTAAAAAGGCTAAGTTCGCCACAAACGTCTACCCGGGGCAACCGAAAGGTGAAGAGGTCTCATTAACTACTTGAGTTTTAATTGCAGAATTCAGAGAGGGATAATTTTCTTTGACATTTCTACAAATTGTAAAAATACTGAGCCGCAGCGTGTGAAGGCCGGCCTTAATGACAGACCGAAGCCCACTCTCATTTAATTGGCAAAGCAATTTCGACTCATATTTAATCTGTGACACTGACTCACGGCTCAACCTGCTGATCGCGAGTGTACACGCTCCACGCCCGCCCTTCACTCACCTCGTCGTTGGACACCAAAGATCCGTTTTCCTTCTCCTTACCGACGCGACACTCTACTTTTACCTCACTTTTCCAGCGCATGTCTGCGTCCAGCCTGGAAAAGTCGTCCCACTTTCAAAGCGAAGGAACTAAAAAATAAAAAAATCTACCCGCTATCCTTTCCTTCTCCTCCAGGGTTCCTGCGCGTGTGTCAGTCTGTCCCGAGCTGTTTCCAGAGGGCGTTTCATAACTCCTACTTTCTCCTCGGTGTTGGTCGCGCCTCCCCCTTGGAAATAAGCTTTTGCGGTTTGAATGCAACTTTTGAGAGGCGCAAAAGTCTGGCACAGTGAGACTGTTGTAAATATTTTCAAATGAGCGCTTGATTGAAAAAATCAAGCGCGTTTGAGTTTTACTTCATGATTTCTTTGAATGATATGCAAGTGGTTCAAAAAACCAAAAAGTTTGAGTGTTTAAATATTGCGTGTAGTTTTTTGACAGCAGGTTCTCCTTCAGAAAGGCCTGCTGAAGCTCCTCTTGCTCCTAAAAATAAAACAGGTTTAATTATGAGGCAAATTATAATAAAATGGTAGAATTTACACAAGCGACAAGAAAGTGAAAAGCAAGTGGATGCAAAGATGCTCTATTAAAAAAATAAATTGTTTAATAATTTATTTTAAGGCCTTAAGGAAGGACTTAACGGTAAATTCAGACCACAGATCCTGTGGCTGCACGCTTTACAAACATGTTTACAGAGGATTTAAGAAAAGGAATCTGATCTCCTGCAGGGTGGTTGTAGCCGTGAATACAAAGACCTTCAAATCAGCGAGGTGCAACATGCAACACTGAGGTGCAGCAGCAATAATAATAAACTAAATGGAGATCCAGTAATATAAACGATATACTATTTACTAATGTTCATAGAAAGAACGATGGGAAAGATGTAATTCCTACATAAAAGGTGCAAGTGGGTGAATTTTACTGCTATTAAGACTCAATCTCTTTATTTTCTAATCTTTACAATATTATTATATTATCCTGTGTGAATATTTATTCTGTCATAACTAATTACTTCTTGAGCTTTGTACCATCTGAGCAGGAGGCCAAAAACACTTCAGTCTCATAGTTTGTGCTCAGTGAAAGTTCCTGTTAGTTTACAGTTTGAGGACCTTTAAATGTGGTCGTTTATCGGAACATTAATTAGAGATCATAAGAAATAAAATCATTCTTTTTAGAGGATTTTTTAAAATCATTGTTACTGCACTATTAAGTATCTCACTACCCTGTGTTATTGTATTATTTTCCTTTTTCTTTTTTTTAATGCCTACCATCTTCTCTTCTTATTTTCATGCAGAACAGAACAGAACAGAACTAAAGAACGTGCACCACAGTCTCTCCAAACTGCTGGACCCACATTAGATGATTTTGTTGGTAACCAGTTTACAGCAGAGCAAACAGCAGCACAGGCATCCAGAGTCTCTGTTGTTCTGAAGGCTCAGTTATTCAGTTTTGTGCATTTTGTCCATTTGAATTATTAGGAATCTTTTTCTGTCACGTTTGCTTAAATAAAAGCGATTCAGTCTGTAAGAAATCCAACGTCTGTAATGGTTTTAAAATCCTTTTTTTTCTCAGGGTGGAAATATGAGAATCAACTTTCTCCGCTCGTCCTTAGGAGAAATAAACTGAGTAAATAACTTTATTACTACACTGTATGACCGTAAAAACAGCCTATAATATAAAACAAACTATATCCAGTTATTATCACCCCATCCAGCCATCGACCGCTGGGGTCAGGATTATTAAGCACGAGTACAATATGGGGAAGGAACAATAATCAGCAGTTTGATGATTCATGAGATATTTCTGCTAAAGCTGCAGCTCTGCCAAAAAAACAAAGAGGAAAATGCAAATTGTTAATTTTTGAAACTTGGGAAGCATCAAGAACTGATTTTTTTGGTTTGTTTGTTTATTTTTTAAGTTCAGATCTAAATTAATTATTATTATATAAGTGGCTCAATGAGTGTTGGGGTTTTTGCACATACTGCAAAAGACCCGCCTGCTTTAAGTTGGTATGCAAATCAGTGACATGAGGACATTATATGTTCTCTTTAGGTGGAAATGTAGAATTCCCACAGGGATCAGAAGGACTGGACTCTCATCAACAAACAGCTCGAGCTACTTTAGAGAAAACACAGTCCATCCAACACTTGACAAATCCTTTCACTCCAGCCACCAC